GCGGCCGCAGCTGAGCTCCCGGAGGTGTGGATGGGTTTGTGGTGCTGGAGAGGGAAGGAAGCTCGGCCCGAGGCACGGATGCGCTCAGATGTGCGTGATCTCGGCTAAGCCGGGCTGTCCGGTTTTCTTCCCTTGTGTCAGACACGCAGCAGAGGGTCTCGGCTCAACATCATCATCATTGCAGAGGGTGCCATCGACCGGAACGGCAAGCCCATTTCCTCCAACTACGTGAAGGATGTAAGCACCCGCTCGAGCGCCCTCTCCCCTTTGCTATGGCCAGCGACTGTGGCCAATTCATCCCCCTGTCCTGACGGCCTCTTTCTTTCCTCTTGCTGTGCAGCTGGTGGTCCAGCGCCTAGGCTTCGACACACGGGTGACTGTCCTCGGCCACGTGCAGCGCGGAGGGACGCCATCAGCCTTTGACCGTGTCCTGGTAGGTCTTGCGGCGGGGGCAAGGGGACCATGCTCCTTGGTGTGAGCATGGCGGGGGAGCCCTGGGCCTGTGGGAGGGAGGGGATCAGGCCTTACAGCCTGCAGCAAGGGCTAAGAGCGCCGTGTGCCTTGGAGACCCTGAACCTGGCTTCCCTCTGCCAGCTGCGAAGGACTTGTCATCTCGGATAATGCTGATGTGCTCCCTGCAGGCTCTGCTGTGCCAAGCAGGACGATGCACCCGTTCCTCTAATCCGGCGCTAACTTCACTGCTTTTAAATAACCCAACAGCTCTCTGGCCGTCAATCAGACTAATGGAGCTGTGCAAGCAGCCACGTGACTTCCAAGCACATGTCCACCCCTTGCAAACATGAGCCCAGGGAAGGTCTCCCGTCAGCAGGTCTGACTGCACGACTGGGAGCTTTCCCCAGGCACATCTCCTGCTGAGGAGCGTGGACACCTGGAGAGTGTCGGGGCGGTGGGTTGGTACCGGCATCACGGGGCTGCGGGTCCCCTTTGCAGAGCAGCAAGATGGGGATGGAAGCAGTGATGGCGCTGCTGGAGGCCACACCGGACACCCCCGCCTGCGTGGTGAGCCTGTCGGGGACCCAGTCGGGGGGGCTGGACCCCACGCGAGGCTGCAGTGGGCACAGGGTCCGGGGGCACAGCTTGGTCTCCCCAGTGTGCGAGGGACTTGGGCGTGTGACAGCGATTCGCTAGGTGAGAAGAGATTCGCGTGTCCATCCAGGAAGATCTGCACGGAGCCAGTTCATCCCTCTGCGGTTATCTGGCCGTGTGCTTGCGCGGCGTCATTGGTTTTGCCTTCCTGCCCTGGTTGTTTCTTGGGAAGGACATTGGCATCATGTAACTGGGGGTTGGTGGTGGTGGTGGGTTGCTCCGTTCCCTTCCCGGGAAGCGTGTGTGTTATGTTGCTGTGTCTCTCTCCACAGACAAAGGATGTTCAGAAGGCCATGGATGAGAAGAGGTTTGAGGAGGCCATCCAGCTCCGTGGAGGGTGAGGAGAGGGGTCGCTGGGCTTTACAGAGCACTAAAATTCCCTGCCTGGGTCAGACTGCCATGCTGCATGCTGCCTCTGCCAGGGTGTAGGCACTTCCCGGGGTAAGTTTGGCTCCAGCACTAACGTCCCCGATTTTGAAAGCAAGGTTCAAATATGCCTGCAAAGGGAGAAAACAAAGATCTTCATGCAGACCCTGACTGGACGGTAAGGTTTTCAGGGCAGCCAGCCCTGGCGTAGTCGGGGGAGAGGAGAGCGTAGGGAGTTGGCCGGATGGAGCACCTTTGGGCGCTGTGCCCTTTGCTGACGCCCAGTCACGCGGGTGAAGCGATCCGAGTCCCCTTTCCTCACCAAGAGGTTTCTAACATCCCTCCCCAATGTGGACTGCTCAGCTGTCCCCTTGCTCTGGGGTACGTGGGGAAGGCACTGGGGCTTGGGAGAGCTCAGCCAGGGGTCCAGCCCTCAGTGCAGAGAGGCCAGGGCTGCTGTAGATGGGAGACGTTGCTGTAGCGGGCTCCTCCAGACTGGAGGTCATCCCCCGTCACGGAGCAGCCCAGGTTTTCCATGTCCCTGCCTGGTCACTGTCCCCAGGGCCAGACGTGCCTCGGAGGTGCACATAGGGCTGCGAAGCAGCACAGCTCCCTCCCTGCTGAGAGCAAGTGTTTTCTTTGCAGGAGTTTTGAAAACAACTGGAACATTTACAAGCTGTTGGCACACCAGAAACCAGCTCAGGAGAAGGTAAGGAGAGCAGTGGGCTGTCTCCCCGCTTCATGCCTTCTGCCTTCAGGGAAGCAGATGTACACGGGCAATGCAGACCTGGTAAAGGGCACGAGTGCACGCGCTGCTCTCCGTGGAGCCCCAGGCTCCCCCGTGTGCAGGCTGTGCGTGCAGCCCCCCTGTCATGCGTCGTAGCCCTGATGCATGACCAGGACTGTGGTGGGCTGATGAAAATGCTGCAGAGGCCTTTCGGATCGTCCTGATCCCTTCTGGCTTTGGAATTGAGGAGCGCCGAGACGACGTCCCAGCTCGGTGGCCGGCGCGTGGGGCCTGAGCTCTCAGTCCTGACGTGCCGTTCTCCTCCATCCCATCCCTGCAGAGCCCCTTCAGCCTGGCCATCCTGAACGTGGGCGCCCCTGCCGCGGGCATGAACGCTGCCGTCAGGTCCGCCGTGCGGATCGGGATCTGCCAGGGACACACCATGTACGTGGTGAACGACGGCTTCGAGGGCTTATCCAAAGGGCAGGTAAATGTCCTGGGTTGTTGGGGGTGGTCGAACACCTCGTGAATGCAGCTCGGGTGCTGGCTTCTGACGTGGGTGCAGATCTCTGTGGCTTTCTGCTTAGGTCTGCAGGGAGGTTTTGTCGACGCTAGGGGCTGTGCGCGGCGGGTGCCTGCACGCGGGCACGCTGGGGTCACTCAGACCGTGTTCAGAGCTGGTGCTTGTCCGGCTGGATGAGCGTGTGGGTGGGTGCCGTGGGTATCCTGGTGGCTTGGGTGGGCCCGGAGGGGGAAGGCCAGGCTGTCACCCACCTGGAAGCCAAACGCTGCTCCTTGCAGATCCGCGAGGTGGGCTGGCACGACGTGGCAGGCTGGCTGGGACGCGGCGGGTCCATGCTGGGCACCAAGCGGTAAGTGCCGCGTTAGAGCCTCGGCAGTGGGCAAGCAGTGGGGCGCGTCTGTGGGCACCGGCCCCATCGTGCCTGCGCTCTACGTGGTTTGCAGAGGGGACTGCAGCCCGGCTGAGCGGTGGGAGGGGACCTTGCTGTCATCTGTGGGGAACAAGCCTGTTTGCAGGGACCGGCTGTGCTGACCCCGCTCTCTCTCCCTCTCTGCAGAACCCTGCCCAAGACGTGCATGGAGAAGATCGTGGAGAACGTGCGGAAATTTAACATCCAGGCCCTCCTGGTCATTGGGGGGTTTGAGGTACGGGGAAAATTGTCAGTTCTTTTTTTCCTGATGGAGTGTGTGAGTTGGCGGGGGGCTGGGACTTTAAAACCAGGCTGTGGTATCATTGGAATGAGGGGGGTTCCAACTGAGATGGGGTCCCCCGTGTGCTTGCATGCCGTACAGCTGGGAAGCGGCCATGGTCCCAGCCCCAAGTGGCTTGCGGTGTTAAAAAAGAGCCAGTTGTTCTCTCTTTGTTTGCTGGCTTAGGACCTGAGGCCTTGGAGAGGCTTGTGCAAGATAAGGCAGGGAGCTGAGATCCGAGCTGGGGGCACAGGCCAGGTCTCCCGAGCCTGTGCCCGCTGCTCGAGGCACAAAGTGGATTGTCCGCATCCCAGCCCGTGCAAACGCTCGTTATCTCTTTATCATCACTGCTGCTCTGGTAAAGAGCATGTTTTCACGTGGAGGGAAGGACGCATGAGCTGCCAGCTGGAAGCAGCACAGTTGGGTGCACAGCACAGCACGGCTGTTGCAGCCGTGCAGCCAAGCGCCTTCTCCCAACCCAAGACCTTTCCTAGCTGCTTGCAGCAGAGCACTTTCCTGGCTGCTTCCCCAGCTGACTTGCAGGCCTGCACACAAGTGTATGGCCTGCCTGATGCTTGCAGCACCTGCTAATTAAAATCCCGTCCCTGGCTAGAGTTTATTCTCTAGTTAAACGGTCGCTGGTAACTGCCAAGAGTAGGAACGCAGATGCTTCCTCTTGGCCAGCCTCGGACAAGCTTCCTAAAAAATGTCAGGGTCCTTGGTGTGCAGCACGGCTCTGCTGGATCCTCCTGGGCTGGTTTGAATCGGCCCAGAGCCAGGGGCTGGTTCTTCTCGCTGACCCCCTTGCTTTCGGGGGAGACATGACCTGGCTGCGAGACGTAGATACGGAGGCAGGCAAGCTAAGGCCGTGGTGCTCCAGGGCCAGCAAATTTCCAACCCTCTGCTTCTTGCAGGCCTACGAGGGGGTGCTGCAGCTTGTCGAAGCGCGTGGGCAGTACGAGGAGCTCTGCATCATCATGTGCGTGATCCCGGCCACCATCAGCAACAACGTACCTGGGACCGACTTCAGCCTGGGCTCGGACACCGCCGTCAACGCTGCCATGGAGGTGAGGCGAGCGGGGAGCGGCCTTTGGGGCGGGAGGCAGGCCGTGGCCTCATCCTGCTCTGCAGGAAGAGGAGTCACATCGCCGCGGCGGCTCCTGAGAGCGTGCAGGGGAACGACAGGGCTGTGTCTGCAAACCTGCAGACCTGTGGCCCCACGGATACAGCTCTGGCTGACTGCCATCAGCCAAGCACCGGTCCAGGATGCCCCCAGAGCATCCTTTCAGCCCACATGCTGGGCAGAGGTGGGCACAGATCCCTTGCAGTGCAGAGCTAGCGTTGAGGGGGAAGGGTTCAGTCCCCTGAGATCCTGGACAGTCAGGGGGATCTTCCTCCTTCTAGCCCACGCGCTGCCGAACCAGCGTGGGAGAAGCAGTGGTAGGTGAAAATGCAGACTTTCACCCACATCCTGTCCCAGCCCTGCCCCAGTTAATGTGCGTACAGGGTACACCACGGCCTGGCAGGCGTTGCCCCATGCCCTGTCTCGTCTGTGGGATGCAGGCAACTCTGGGGAGGAAGCTGGAGAGGAAAATCTCCCTGTGGCCACTTTGGTCTGTGCAGGTAGCAACAAAAATGGGGCGCTCTCTGCACGTTTTACACCTGTGATCCAGACCCCTTTCATTCCGGCCTCTGCACTAACAAGCACCTCGTTCCTCCTTTTCCTGGTGCAGAGCTGTGACCGTATCAAGCAGTCGGCATCGGGCACGAAGCGCCGCGTGTTCATCGTGGAGACGATGGGCGGCTATTGCGGGTACCTGTCAACCGTGACCGGCATCGCGGTGGGCGCAGACGCTGCCTACGTGTACGAAGATCCTTTCACCATCCATGACCTGAAGGTGAGCAGGGGAACGCGGGCTGGGCTGCGACGGAGCTGTACAACCCCGGCATTGCCGAGCTGTGTTCTGGGGCTGCAGCGCGTGCAGTTATTCAACAGCATCGTTTCATTAAAAAGAGAGAAACCAGAAAGAAGAGCTTGAACAGAATAGGATTTGGAGGAGCGTGTGTCAGTGTGGGGGGATCTTTAAGGCACCTCAGGGCAACGCCTATGACACAGCGTGGAGATGTTAGTGGCTCTCGAGTCTGAAATATAGGAAACAGTAGGATCAGAGGCACCCCTTAAGACCTATCCCGTCTCACTAGGTTGGCTGCAGAGAGGGGACATGGCGCTGTTAGGATCACAGCCTGGGGTTTGTCTTGCAGGCCAACGTGGAACACTTGACTGACAAAATGAAGACGGATATCCAGAGAGGCCTGGTGCTGCGGTGAGTCAGTCCCGTCTGCCACAATGTGTACTGGCAGAGACTGCGGGACAGTCTCCTTCCAGCCTGGGAACAAGCCCAGGTTGCCCCTGTGCTGGAGAGAGAGCCCAGAGCTGAGCTGGGCAAGCCTCCCCGCTTTCGGGAAGGCGGGGAAGGAGGTGGTTTACCTTCTTCTGCCGCACAACAGCGGCGTGCGGCCAGAGATGGGCCCTGGAGGCGGGAGGGTTTGGTGCACTGGGTGCACAGCATCCTCCCTGGGTATGCGATACTTGGACCGAAGGAGATTCGCGCTCTGAACTCCGGACCGCATCCTGGCCCCAGGCACCCTGCTCAGGAGACAGGCTGGGGTACGGCATCTGGGCCTCTGAGGAGTCCCTGAGCGCAGAATTTAACAGCTCAGCCCTGCCCAAAGACTAGTTAGAAAGCCGGGTGAGGAATTGCAGGTATGTGCAGGGGAGCGTGGAGGGACACCTCTGAGGACATCCAGTTAAGAAGCAACCACCCCTCCTACCTTCTCTCTGCTCCCCCAGCAACGAGAAGTGCCACGAACACTACACCACTGAGTTCCTCTACAACCTCTACTCCTCTGAGGGCAAGGGCATCTTCGACTGCAGAATTAACGTCCTTGGCCACCTCCAGCAGGTACGGGTGGCTGCGATGGGGGGCAGGACCACGCTGGGGTTAGGCACAGAGAAGGACCAGTGGTGGGGCTGTTTGCACCTTGCCCCAGCAGATGTCCTGGGGTGAGCAGCATTTACTGCCACCACTGTCTGCTGGGCCGGTGCCGAAGGCACTGAGTGATTCTGCGCGTGGGCTTGACGCCAGCGTTTCTTTGCATCCAGGGAGGGGCCCCGACACCCTTTGACCGCAACTACGGCACCAAGCTGGGAGTGAAGGCCGTGCTGTGGATGTCAGAGAAGTTGCAGGAAGTCTACCGCAAGGGTGAGTGAACTGCGGCATGCGCCTGGCCAGGGCTGGCGTTCCTGTGCCAGAGCCAGGAGGAACTCCCGGGCAGTTTGTGCCAAGTCGGGCTGGCGTTTTGCCAGCCTGTGAGGCTACAAGAAGCCTTGTGCTGCCTGTCCCAGACGTGTCTTCGGGCAAGCGGTGAGCAGAGGGCACGTCTCCCTGCTACGCGTGTCTGCCCAGTCGGTCTCCAAGCACGTTCCAGCCCGCTAGCTGCTGCCACGTCTCCTGTGCACTGGGACGGGGAGAAGAGTCCACTGGGATCAACGAATGGGCAGGAGAATTGGCCTGTGGTGTTTTCACCTCCCAGGACACATCTTTCAGGCTCAAAGGGCTCCTCTGCACCCTGCTAACCATGAAGGGGGGGGGGTCTTGCCCCTTCCTCGCTGACAACATGCTCCAGCCCTCACTGGTGGGAGTGGGTTTCCCCTGTGGTTGCCTGTAGGAGCTCATGGCAGTGCTGGTGGAGCCAGGCAGCCCTTGCTGCTGTGCTGTGCGCTGGCCAGGGTGTCCTCTCACCACTCCGCCACGTGGTAATGGCCAGCTGTGTCCCCACAGGGCGTGTGTTTGCCAACTCGGCCGACTCTGCCTGCGTGATCGGGCTCAGGAAGAAGGTGGTGGCCTTCAGCCCCGTGACGGAGCTCAAGAAAGTCACCGATTTTGAGTAAGTCCCTGTTCTGACGTCCCTTCTCTCCGCGCGGTTCACCAGTCTCCAGGATGGCGAGTCCGGTGGGGTGGGACCTTCCTGGACCAGGGTGATGCTTGCTGGAAAGGTCGTCTTCTCCTGGCTGTCCCCTGGGCTGTTTGAGAGCTCTGTCCCTCCTTTGCAGGCACAGGCTGCCCCAGGAACAGTGGTGGCTGAACCTGCGGCTCATGCTGAAGATGCTCGCCAACTACCAGATCAGCCTGACCGAGTACATTTCCGGGAAGATGGAGCACGTCACCCGGCGCACGCTCAGCATTGAGAAGGGCTTCTAGTCCTGCTAGCCCGAGCTGTAGCTCCCCGCTCCCTCTCCCTCCCATCTAATACCTCCAGGAGTGCCACATGGCCCGGGACCACGTGCTCGCTCGGAGCACCACGCCAGTGAGTGAGCTGCAGACCTGTGGGATATCTCAGCCACCCCTGAGCACGTACCCCCTTCTCCAGGTGCTGCTCAGGGAGCGCTGGGACCCATGTTTTCAACAGACAGTAGTTTTTCTCCAAACCCTTTAAAGCAGGCAGAGCCTGGCCACAGTTCCTAAAACAGCACAATCATGCCTGAAAACGGTGGCCCAGGGTCTGGTCCCTGAGGAGCTGGGGGAAGTGGTATTCCTAGAGCCCAGCTGCACAGCCCAGACCCTTAACCTTCCCCTTTTAGTTTATTCTTACTATTTAATGATCGAGGATCCAGATTCCTTACTTAGCGGCTTGACCGCCGTGTGAGCCAATTGCTGCTTTTAGTTCCCTGCCCTCCGAACTGGGAGGGGAGCTGAGAAGGAGAGCTGAGGAAGATGCTGAACTGCTCCAGAGCAGGTAGGGTCCGACCCTGGGGGCTCGTTGATGCCACATGGGCTCCCAGCAAAGCTCCTTCAGTTTTCTTACAGCCTTGCTGTGTGTTGTCGCGCGTTGCCCACTGGCTCCATCCACCCCAGGTGTTTGCCTAGTGGGATGTCCTGAGGGCCTAGCGCAGAGCGCTGGTCCTGGCAAGCCCCGCTCCCCGACCACCTTGCATGACACTTGGCTCCGACCGCTGCCACGTGGCACTTGGTGCTGGTACTTTTCTGGCCCCAGAGCCGTGCCCTTTCGTGCCAGGTACTCTTGTCATCAGCAGGGCCATGCCCATCATGACACTGTTGCTCTGTGAATCCCCCGTCTTGCACTGTTCATGGCGCTTCTTGTGTCTTCTAGAGATAAAACCTGCTGGAGCCAAATCTGCGTCTCTGGAAACTGGTCATTGCACGCTGAGTCCCACCAGGGAGGGGAGGGCCTGTTTCCTGGTGGTGTGTGAATGCATCGGGGTCCTGCTCCTCTGCCGGTGCCAAGTGAACCCAAGTAGTTCCCGTCCCCCAACCCCAGGGCTGTGCAGGTCCTACCATTGCCAGGACCAGGAGGAAGTGTTGGGAGGAGAGAAAGTGCCGTGCTGGGCTGGAACAGTCGGTGCAGGCTCGGCAGGAGTGTTGATTTCTGGGGAGCAGTTGTGGGAAAGCGGGAGCCGTCCCCAGTGAGCAAATCCAGGAGGCATTAAGACATGCTTGCTGAAGCGTGGGGCTTTTTCTGGAGCTGGATTAATGCAGCGGAAGGGAGAGCAGGGCCAGGAACGCTGCTGTGTCTCCAAGCCCAGGCCCCGCTCCCATCTCCCTTGTCCGCTCTGCTCCGCTCGGGTCTGGAGAGCAGGACCATTGGGGGCCTCTCCCATGCACGAGTTCACGCTGCGCCTTGGCTGGCGACCAGAGGGTGCAAAGTCAGCATCCCTTTGTGGGGAGACTTCGCAACCTTGGACAGAAGTTGCTTCTCCCATGTTTTGTTTCCCACCTTCAAAGAAAGTTCAAAACTGATTTATCAGCCTGACATGTTTGTTTATAACACAGTTTCTCAGGGTGGCTGCCAAGCACTCCAGCTCCTGCTTGCAGCGCTCAGGCCTGGCTCTGAGCTCAGAGGCCTTGGCCGATGCCAGACATCCGAGCGTAGCCGATTTCCCAGGGCTTCCACGCCAGCCTCTCCTCCTGGGGCCTGCAGCTGAAGGCCTCTGGTCTGTGGGCCGTTGCCAGCACGAGGACATGTCACGGTCCTTCGGTTTGGACATGCTGTTATTCCCCGCCGCCCCCGGCTCCACAGAGGGTCTCCCCCTGCAGCAAGTTTCCCCTTGTTTTCAGGGGCAGCAGTGTTTTTCCCTACCTGGGCCAGAGCACTGCCATGTTCCTTGTTCTGGGCTGTGGACAGAGGTCAGAATCCTTCCGCCGTGCACTCAGCTTTGGCAGAGGCTGAAGATACAGTAACAGGCCGTTGAAGGCAGCATCACAGCTTCTCTCCAGCGCGTATCTGCTTTGGAGGCCCCAGGCTGCAGCATCACGCAGCTCTTTGCGGTGCTGGTGAAGGGACTGGGGGAAGATGGTAGGTAGGAAAGGGGCTGGTCCACCCTCTGGAGCGCTGATTTATGGCCCTGCGCGATGCCTGACGCTGCTGAGCCGCGCTACGGACAGAGCGCCTCTGAGCTGCTGTGCCCCGTCCTGCTCTTCACCATCAGCGGGGCCTTCGTCAAGCCACTGAAACGCAGGCCGTGGTCAGTCAGCTCACTCGGTCCCGGTGCCGCTTCGCGCCGATCGCTGCGCAGTGGGGATGCTGCACGTCTGACTCACCATGCTGGGAAGACAGCTTTCTGCCTGGGCCAGAAGCCTCCCAAGGTCCCCGAGGAGCCTTCTGAACACAAGTTGTGCTGGATCAACTTCCATGGGCAGCCAGCTGCTGACAAGAACCACTACTGGGAAACGTTTGTCCTCGCTGCTCAATTACCCGAGCCGAGGCAGGTCAGGGCACGAGCACATCCCGCTGCAGAGCTCCGTCGTCCTGCCACGGGGCCGGTGGAGCCTTGCGGCCAGGTGCAGCCAGCGGCGTTCAGCTCCTCTCCAGCGTGTCCTCCTTTCTGCAGCCTTGCTCTCTCGGCAGCGGAGGGGCTGCGACAGCGCGGCAGCAAGTCGCCGCGCTCCAGCGCCCAGCTTCAGCTCGGGCAGGGACGGACGTGGGTTCCCCGGGGGCCGTGCTGTCCCTGATTTGTGGTGCGAATGGGAGCAGATGTCCTCACGCACTCAGACCAACTGCACAGCTGGAGGCACTTGAGGACAGGGACGCTTTGGCCCTAACACCACGTTCCCCCAAGACAGCCTGGAGCGCCAGATTGCTGGCAGGAGGTCAATAGGTGCAGTCCCTCGCGTCTGTGTCCCGGTCGCAACCACGAGCGCATGGAGAGCGACCACAGCTACCTTGAGCCCCTACGAGGTCCTGGGGGCCCAGGACACCTCCCCCACCGCCTTGCATACACCACAGCCCTGGCTTCACACTGTCCCTAGCACAAGTTACAACACAAAAGCATCAGACCAGCAGCTTGGTCTTCACATTGTGCCTCTCGGGACCTTGAGGGCACAAATAGACCTTAGCTGCCCTGAGCAGGCTCAGCTGGGGCCCTGACCCACATCCAAAGGAGCCTGTGCAGGGGGACCAGGGAGAGCTTCTCTCCAGCAGGAAGCAAGCGCTGCCAGCAGCTGACTTGTCTCCTGCAGCGCGTCCCTCCTGTTAACCAGTGGCCCTCGCTCCTGCTCTAGCGGTGCTGTCAGAGCAGAGCCACAAGCATCTGAGGGCAAAAGAAAGGCTGCCAGGTCTCCAGAGCGAAAAGGGACGAGCCTAAGGGTCAAGCCTACTCCCTGGGCTGTTCGGAGGGCAAGTGGGAGGCTGTGACAGTGGTGGGGGTCATCCCTGCAGCAGGAGGAAGGAGCGGTCAAGATCAGCAAGGGACGATCGCCTGGCAGCGGGAGCACCAGCACCAGCCAAGTATGACGAGCACGGCACGTAGGCAAAGAACTCTGCTCGGGGACAGCTATGCTGAAGGGGAGCAACAGGCCAACGTCTCGAGCTGAGGGTGCAGAGGAACTGTGCCAGAGCAGCTTCAGGCCTCAGCAGCCGCCAAGCGAGCCACCAAACTCCCTTGATGCAAAGAAGCCCCGGATTGTGCGAACTTTGTCCGGCAGAAAGCTGGACTCTCTGGGCCACGGGGTGTCTAACCCTGCACAAATCGCAGCTCCTGCATTCCAGCTGTGTGGAAAGGCGTGACTTGGGCCACTTGGCAGGCTGTCAGGATAGCGTGGGAGAAGACATGCCCTCAGCACGAGACCAAGTTGCAAACGACGATGAGGGAGTCCCGCTGGCCTTGGCTGTCAAGGGAAGTCCAGTTTATTATAAACGACACTGACCATTTAAGTGCAGTTGGTTTTAACGCAGAATTCAAGGACTGAGCGGCAAGGGACAAGTTCTGCCCTCTCGTGCCAAAGCCAGCTAAGCAGACGTGCGCCCACACGGCTGTCAACACCCCCAAGAAGCACTCCTTCCCATCAGTACTTCCGAGTGGGCAGAGCTGTGCATGCCTGCACCAACACAGGACAGTGGCGACAGAAGGGGCACGTTGTCCCGCACAGCTCGTGCTCCGGCGGCTGCAGCTGTTTGGCACCGCAGGCCGACGGTCTGACTTCACGAGTCCCAGAGGCCATCACACTAGCCTGCAGCAGGCTTTGCACGTTGGCAAAAGAAAAACACGTTGAGCCCTGCTCAAAAAAAAAAACTCTTTTGTTTCCTGTATTTGGGTGGACCTGTATGGGTGGAAGGCTCTCACATAGCAAAGGTGGCGTCTCTGAAAAGCAGCTCAGCACTGGAGAGGTGCAACAGTTATGCCGGTTATCAAACAGCACCACAGTCGGGGAAGCCAGCTAAAGGGTCCAGTGAAGCAGAAGAGGGCAAAAGCTAATAACCCTCCTCCCACTTTACAGGGACGAACAATGCACGCTGAGAACCACGCTTAATGGAGCAATGCCCACAGTCAGTAGTTCTCACCATGTCTGTTGACTCCAGCCACAGCTTACACATCCTAGAGAGAAAATTTTTATTTGGCATGTTACAATGTTGTAGTTAGAATTTAACAACTCTATACAGTCTTAGTAAATTCAGCTTCTTCAGCTGAAGAGAAATCCCATCCTTCATACCTGGGCAAAGTGGCCAGTAACGCTTGTCTTCTTTTCTCCTCAACTGCAAAATGCACGCGTGGTTTTTTATTCCTAGCTTAAGTTTCCTTTAGCTGCCCTAAACCCTGCAGGGCACGTGGGGGATAAAGCAGACCTGAGCATTCAGCACATGGGAGAGAGTAATTTCTGTTTCAGCTAAGCTGCATCAAGCTTTTTTTTTAGGCCACCTCATCACCAAGTCAGATGCTGCATATGCTAACAAGGACCAGAAGGAGTCAAGAGTTTAAGACAAACTAAGAATTTGACACCGAGCTTCAAAACCTGCACCAAAGACGGTGCTCAGTCATTATTTGAGGCAGTGTCCCTTTCGAGAGATTTCATAAAAGCAAGTCTTTGTGGTAAAAGCTGCCTTCCAAGTCTGCTGCACACAAAGAGAAGCTGGTACCATGTCAGGCCCAGCTCAAGTTCAACAGAGAACAAGCGGTGACCTTTCTAGCCATCAGCAGGCTTTGGCACCCCCCTTTGGTAGCGCGGCAGCAGGCACTAGCACCTCTCACTGCACCCCCTGCTAGCTTTTGCGTGCCGATTCCCCTGCAGCACCGATCAAATGACCCCAACCACATGAGATGCAAACGCAGCAGAGCCTGCTGCACAAGCAGGAAAGCTCCCATGAGCCAGATCAGGTGCTGCCAGCCCCACTGTGACATTTACAGCCAAGGGCAATGTCAGGAGCTAAAGGTGCAACTGCTTTCACAGCGGCCTGTCACAGCCTGTCCGCATGGAAAGCACAGCAGGACACACCGAGGTTTTGGCTGTAGCCTGAAATGTGTGGGCAGAATGGTCCGGGGCTGGTTCCCCAGCCTGCAGAGTGCTCTGGGGAGGTTTGTAGTGAGCACTATCACTCCTCCTGCAGCTCCTTCTTCCGAAAGGCCTGGAGCCTCCTCCCCGCTGTTTGCTGGACGATCTCCAGCCCCTCTGTGTCCAGTTCCTTCATGAGAAGCAAGATGGCATTCAGGACGTTATTCTGTCAGGACAAGACAGAGATTGTTTTATACAAGCATACTAGTGGCGGCCCTGAGAAGAACAGGGTACTCGGTTTTCAAAGAACTGCTCCCTTCAAAACTCCTAAAACCTCAGCAGTGGTCTGAAACAGACACCTGCAGCTACAGGGACAGATCCAACCAAGCCCTTGGGACTGACAGGGGCAG